GATAGATAGATAGATAGATAGATAGATAGATAGATAGATAGATAGATAGATAGATAGATAGATAGATAGATAGATAGATAGATAGATAGATAGATAGATAGATAGATAGATAGATAGATAGATAGATAGATAGATAGATAGATAGATAGATAGATAGATAGATAGATAGATAGATAGATAGATAGATAGATAGATAGATAGATAGATAGATAGATAGACTAACAACATCAAAATGTGGATGATAAACACCCACACCTGCTTCCACCCACATTTGCCCCACTCTGGGCCCTTGAGCAAGGTTCCTAACCCCATCATCTGATCCCCTGGGCACTCTAGATAGCAGCTCTGCTCCACACAGAGGGCTGTGGTAGCTCGGTGGTCTGTGGTTGTGTCAGGAAGGGCATCCGGCGGAAGAACAATTGTCAAGTGTTCGTGTGACTCAGTTCGCTGTGGCGACCCCTGAGGAAGGGAGCAGCCCAAAAACAAACAAACAAACAAACAAAAAATTGCTTATGAAGACTTCTAATATTAATGAAGAAAAAAGTGTAATTATGTTTTATATTAAAAATATGTCTCCTGTGTGCATGTGTGCGTACAACTCTTCTTCTGCTGGTTTTCGTCCTGTAGTATTATTGTCTCATTGGTGACACCTGCTATTCAAGAGAAGAACTGAAGCAACGCCGATCTAAACAGCTACAAACACTAAAAGTGTGCTTCATTCTGATTAAAATCAATTAATATTTCTGAAAAAACTGTTTACCTGTGTTTTATTATTTTTAAAAAGTAAATGCATTTTGCTAGAGATGGGCATTACATTATTTTCTGGGATCCAGATCATTTGGGTCAGATCACCAAATGGTTCAGCTCCCTCAGACCTGCCTCAATAATTCCAGTCACTAATTATTAAAAAACAAGTAGTCTAGTTTAATCTAACTTAATCTAACTGATTTGTACATAAATGGCTACTTTGTATATAAAGTTATACATTTCTTGTCAAATAATGAAAAAAGATTAATGCAATAGTATTTTATCGGCTTTATATGTTAAAAATATGTTCAGAATGGTGATTTCCCATTTATGCTGTTTATTTATTACATCACTAAACTGATAATTACATTCTACAAAAATGAATGTAAAATTTAGTAAATTCATGTACTTTGTATTTTAAACTGCAGCTATTGAAGTAATACAGAAAAAAATAATATTTACAGATATGTTTTACAGAGAAGGAGTCTAACCTTTTAATATTAAAATACTCACCGTCAACACACGAAGGCCTGTTTCTGGTGGTTCCAGCCACTTTTCCTGGCAGACAGGAACACTTCACCGTCTGAGATCGTTCCTCAATTCGATTCTTGTTACAGCACCTGTGAGCAGCTATTACTTCGCAGGTGCCCCCCTCTGATAAGGAGAAAAACAAGCGAACATCAGACTGCATTAGGCCGACATCTGCTTTCTGAACACATCGCTGTCAGTGAAGTTCTCCTCCTTCAGTTTGAAGAAGTCTAATGATGTAGAATTTATATTTTAAGCTCTACTTTAGACTGAAGCGTTGCCCTTTTCTAAATAATTTGTCAAAACACTCAACTCTTGCATTGGAGGACGACTGCTTTAACCACTCAGCCACGTACATCTTTTCAAAGAGCAGTTGGCTTGACAATAAGAAAATGTAACAATGTCCTAAAAGAAGTGTGTCTTTCTAAGGGATCTTTATTTACAAATAATTAATATAATTTTGATGTTTTACACTGTTGACTGAATACTCCGTTTTATCTGAAGGCATCATATTTTAAAGGCGCTCTATCAGAACAATTAGTCCTTATAGAGTTGGTGTTTTACAGAAGCAAAAACAGGTCACAGGTGCAAAGAGTTGGTCCTAAGAATGCAGACACAAAGTGCTTGAATAAATACAAACAAACATATTTATTAAAGAAATAAGCCAACAGCCTGAAAAGCCTAAACTACTTACAAAAAACTACTCGAGGAGAACACACAGGAGACCTGGACCTGGCATAACAAAACAATGCTAGACTGAGGATGGGATGAAATGCAGACAGCAATATGGACAGGGGACAAGCAGAGTTCAATCACCTGGGATCATGACAACTGGGGACAGGTGAGAGTGGGCGGGGCAGGAGCTGAAGGAGGAGGACAGACTGAGGAGAAGCAGCTGATGGAAGAGAGGAAACTGAACAGAACATTATCAAATGAAAGTAAGGTGTAAAACCTGACAACCAACAAAGAAACTACAAAAAAAATACACAGATCCTGACAAAAACAACCTCACAGGTTTTCCAGCTGCAAAATATAGTGCTAATTTTGCAGTTCGACAAATTAAGACAAGGTCTAAATAATATAACATTTTGTGCGCCTATTTTCATAAACTGCTCCTTTCACACAGAGGAAAAGTGACACAATATGGAAGTTCTCAGTAAACCAGAATAATTATTCTTGTGCGTCTCACTCTTTAAGCAAAGTCCTTGCAGAATGTTCAAAGTAAGAAGATTATGAAAAGAGGAATGTGGGTACACAGGGAATAAAGACATGTAATGGCAGATGGAGACACCTGCCTCAAGCTGTTTTTAAATATTAACACTGGATCCACCGTGCAATTATCACCAGCCTGTGATTGTGTCCTGGAGGATCAGAGGTTCAGGACCTGACGACTGTGACCCACCTTAACCGCTGGCCTGTACCACCCACTGCTCGCAGCCTCTCCACACATGAGAGCTGTGCAGTAAAGGACCATCTGACAATTACAGCCATCAGCGTGACACGAGATCAAGGAGGCTGCAGAGCGCAAGAGGGCAGGGGGGGGGGGGGGGGGGGGGGGTATCTGGTATATTGCCAGCAAAGTGATTTGAAGTTATGTTTGACAATGAGCTGGGGGTTTGTGAAATGTGTCATGGCTAGATTTGCATATCGCTTTACCACATTTGAATATTTTGGTTTGTCAGGTCCTACTGATGCAGAGAGGTTTCTGAGAAGCAAAAAAACTCTGTCCTGGTACACAGCCTGAAGTAAAAACTCCTGTTCAGGAATGCAGACTGGTTTTACTCTCTGCCGATGATCTGATGATCTGAAACTGCTGGTGGATTATTTGGTTTTTGGAAAAGAGCCTGCATGGATGCTCTGGTACTTTCTGAGAGACTGGTTCTTGAGCACAGCCACAAATACTCCAGTTAACGTACTAAAGCTAAACTAAAGGCTGAGCGTTCCTCAAAGGGATGTATATCACCCACCACCTTTCATGATTGAATTTTAGATGATCGTGGTTGTAGCCGTTTTGGTAAATTTTTTATTTTCTTTTTCTTTCGGCTGCTCCTCCCTCAGGGGTCGCCACAGTGAACCGAGTCGTACGAAGACTTGGCGATTATTTTTATGCGGGATGTCCTTCCTGATGCAGCCACAGACCACCGAGCTACCACAGCCCTTTGTGTGGAGCAGAGAGCTGCTATCTAGGACACCCAGGGGAGCAGATGGAGGGGGTTAAGGGCCTTGCACAAAGGCCCAGAGTGGGGCAAATCAGGGTGGAGGCAGGTGTGAGTGTTTCACCAATCCCACCCACATTTTGATGTTGTTGGCACCGGGAGTTGAACCAGCTATCTTCCGACCACCTTCTCTAACCTCTGCACCATCACTCCCCCTGTATTCTTTTACAAAACACTTATTGACAATCTCGTGGTATTGTGAGATCTCACAGGTATGAGCACGAGGCATATATCAAAGTTCATGCTCAATAATCCAGGTAAAAATAAAATCCAAGTCAGGTCATCAGGACGGTTTCTTTGTGTTGAAACATTTGGTCTTTCATCCAAAACACTCCAACGAGCCACAACAAACTCAGTCCCATAAGTGGCACACTCACACAGTGGGCAAACCAGTTTGATGGTGATAAGATGGTGGCTGGTGTTTTCTTTGATGTTTTGAACCACTTTAACCATAGCTGCCTGAGAGGAGGAGATGGAGGACTCCAGAAACCATCTTATCACCATCAAACTGGTTGGCCCACTGTGTGAGTGTGCCACTTATAGGACTGAGTTTGTTGTGGCTCCTCTGACTGCGAAGTCTTTTGGATGAAATACGAAACATTTCAACACAAACAAACCATCCAGGCGACCTGACATAACTTTTCTGGACTTGGCATATAGGTTGTCAACGACTCTCAGTCATTACCACACAAAAATTAGCCCAGTATCTGCCGAACTGACTGAGCTAGGGACAATTTTTTTTGTTGACTATAAATGGTTAGCTAAGACGCTATATTGGATTAGGTGGACTCCAATTAAAAAGCTGTAGATGTGCATTCAATGATTACTTTCAGGCAGTTTTGTTGAATTCCATCCATTAGTTTTTGAGATATTTTGCTAATTGATAACAGGGCTGATGCCAAAGTTATAAAAACCTCTTATCAAAATCAAAGTCTCATGCAATCAGTGCACAGAGTATGTGTTTCAAACTCCTCCCAGCTAACACCACACCAGCTTTTTACAGAATTAAAGAAAACTAAAAATAAAAGTTTTTACACAAACTCAAACACATCCCAACTGGGATTTGGTCCGACGACCTTCTCGCTGAGAGGTAACAGCTCTTTCAACTGCGCCACCGTGCCACCCTGTGAATAATCAGTTAAAACAAAATGATGATGGTGTAAAAGTTCATAAAATATATTTTGGAAGAACCCATGGAAAAAATTTAGATTGGAGATATTTTAAAATAAAAGATACTGGTGATTCCATTACGAAGTCTTTTAAGTACAAATCTAAATGAAAATCACATTTAACCATAAAGTAGCTTAAGTTTAATGAGGAAAGAAGGAATCTAAATTTTTGAGCTGTCATGTAAGTTCTGGTGGGGAAAAATTAACACAAAGACACCCCCCCCACCCCCCAATGACCTTCTGGATAGTAGCAGATCACCCAGTTTGCTTGTCTTTAATTCAACTGCTCCTCTGCATTAGAGGTGATTAGATCGTGATCAGGATGATTGAAATCCTCTCAGGATTCTGTGATTTGCCTGTGTGTGTGTGTGTGTGTGTGTGTGTGTGTGGGGGGGGGGGGGGGGGGGGGTAGCTTTAAATAAACAGAATCAGTGCACTCCTGACAAAGATTAAAGTTGGATAAGGGAGTTTTAAGAATGGAAATTAGGAGCCAAATTTTAATCCAAGGGGCAAAATGGGATTTTGAAATATTTGTTTCTTGTCATGTGTGTTAAGTTACCTGACTCCTGGCTCTGTGATGGAAAAAAAAAAAAAAACATTAATAGCAGCCTTTGGTAAAAAAAAAAATAAAAAAATCCTAATCTTGTAGTGGGTCTGCAGGAATGTTGCTGTCTGATGCACTCAACAAAAGGGCACAGCATTAATCGTAACATGCCAGTGGAAGCAGTGGGGCATCATTTGAAAACAACAGCCCACAGGGGTTTGTTCTTCTTAATGCATCTCCTTAATTGCATAAGACAGCCCCAGATTTCTACTTTGATCTATTAAAAACACACTACTCAACAGAATTAACTTGCATTGCTTGTTGCTAGCAATCGTAGCGCAGAATGAGGATACTCTATATTTGGAAACCATCACCCCTGAAGAATATATTAAAATCAAATAAAAATGCAAATCAGCGTGGTATTTCCAGCCGGCAGGTGTAGCGGGTACCTTTACACAAAAGCAATGCAACACTGATTAGTGCTCTTCAAGTTCGCCCGCGATTCCAGCCCTGCGAGTGCAACACGCTTCATGCTCCGAGAGCCCGTCTTTGCATCCTAAATATTTCAGAGGGAGCGGAAGGATAACATGGATGGATTGCAACGCTCTCCTCAGGTGAGAGCTGGAGCCATGCAAGGATATAATTGTTTTCTGTATTTCCATTTTCCCCCATTATCAGGGACAATGAGCAAAGTCAGTCTCACAGATAACAAACAGCTTCTTGTGTGTGCGCGCTAGTGTGCGTTTGCGTTGCCTTTCCAGAAATATTTTAACTGACAGGGATCAGGGGTCATGCACAAATTGTCTTTCATGAGGTAACAGGTCACATAAAACCAGGAGGTCACAACTAGAAGCGCCCTGTTTTTGTTGCTTCCTTTTTCCAGCCTCTTCATTACTCTGAGGCTGGAAATAAGAGCTGTCAGGCAGCAAGGTGACCAGCACCACAATCTGCACCCAACAGAGCACTGCTCATTTTCTCTTCCCGCTGAGATGGAAAAACATGACTTTGTTCTTTATGTAGCATCGCGTCTTTCATGTTTTTCTTTTTAAAAAGATTTATTTCATCCACTTAGTTCTTGTTTCTTGGTCATGATGATAAAATAAATTCTTAGGAACACACTGAACGCCTGCTGCATTGATTGATGAAGTCCGAGGTCCCAGTGTCTTTGGTCTTTCCTGCAGATGGTTTTAGGTTTTG